AAATTGACCATGTCATCTGTGTTGTGGTGTACATCTGATTGTATTGGCTTATTGGTTCAGTCCATCAGATGTCTATTGGATTTTGAGATTTGAGGTAGATGAATACAAGAGTACAGGAGCAGGAGTTAAGACGGGATTGGGAAAGTCCATTGTAATGCATCTCACCAGAGATAAATAATAAAATAATAATAAATAAATTATTAGTATATAATACAGTAAATAATCAATGGATTTAATGAGTGGACATAAGAGAATCAGCCACCCTAAGAGTTTGCAATGACAATATTTTTGATATTTGCTGGTTAAAATGAATTTTGTTATGACTTTTCTCAAAACATATGGCATTTTTTGCTTCAGTTCTTGTGTTTTGCTTTGAAAATGCACAAAATCAGTAACACTTGAGTTATATAATTTGTCACATTTCTTCCGGCTTATTGACTTTGTAATATTGAGAAATTAACTATTTGTTATTACTTATAAAGTTTGATCTCATTCTGCATCCCTTATTCTATCCAATACCTAAACCCAAATATACCTTACCAACTAATAATAAGCAGCAAATTAAAAGTTTATTGAACTAAAAAATCTTAAGGCATCTTTAGACTGTACACATTACACTGTTTTCAATGCTTTGAATGTCTCTGAACTGTTGTCGTCTATGCAGGATGAGAGAGCTCTCTGATTTTATCCCCATTGGTCAGATTAAATGATAGCCCCGCCCTAGACCTGTGACATTGGTTGAGCTGTTGCCGTGCTGTGCTGGTCAGAATTCTCATGCAAGCAGACCATTGTTTAGACAGCGCCCATGTTTGTCTTTCTTAACTGGATTTTAGCACCCTAGAAATCATTTGCAGCGTATTAAAAAGCTCCCGCAGAGTTCTGGCTGTTTTTCCCCACAAGTCCTTTCAGATTTTCTGTAGAAAATGTTCAAATCCAGCTATTGCTGTTCTCACACTTGTGCTAATATTGGTGTGGTTACAACAGTGATGGGGCCTGGCTGATGCGGGCATTATGGGAAACTTTGTTCTTTGTTTACTTGAGTAGTTTCAAAGTGTCTTTGCACCCTTTTTGTGGTGTTTCTTATGGGTTGTAATGTTATGAATGTGGAGTCATAAAATGGGTAATCTGTTTGTAATACACTTCTGTGATGTTAGTGGCATAATCCACGATTTTTGGCTGCGATACATAATGCAATTATTAGAAATTTGCACTTATTATAATATAAACTGTAAAAAGTGGGAATTCAAAAACACAACAGCACTGTATATACTACAAAAAATTGAGTTTTTGTCTTGTTTCTAGTACAAATATCTAAAAATTCTTAAATTAAGAAGCATTTTCTAGACAATCCAATAATACATGTATTGTAGTTACCATTTATTCATGTACTTTTTGCATTTTAGAAAATTACAACAACAAAAAGAAACCTACAACAAAATATACAAACCATACAATACAATAATAATACATATAAAATACAATACAAGAAAATCCTAACCTACGGTATATGACAGAACTACAGAACACTGAGTAACAAATGCACATGAAAGCAAATTATAATATAGCTGATCAGGTAATGCATAAGTAAAAAGAATTATAAAGTAGCATTGCTCCTGTATTACCAAAATTAAAAGCATTATTCTGACTATAGTTTAATGTTAAATAATAGTTTGTGCAGATCATTGAAAATATTATAGATTATGAATAGTGATTATCGATTACACTCAATATTTAGTTACTATGTTATTGACGGGTCATTGGTTATGCTTGCATTTCTTCCAATGCATTAAGACATTCTAATATCTGTCCCTATGTTTTATCAAATATTTCCAATTTATCATTATTGATATATCTCAATCTTTCCACATTCTCAATCACCCTTTTGGCAATTACCATACCAAATAACATAGCTTGTCTTTCATATTTATTAAACATCTCTTAAGTCGCCCAATATCCCATGGACAGCTATAAGTGGATGTCCTTCACGTTTTATTGGAGGGCTTTAAATATATTTTCCTAAAATTCTTGTAGTTTAGGACAGAACCATATCCAATCGGTTAGGGATCCTTCTGCTGCTTTACACCTGTCACAAATTGGAGATACCTGAGGAAAATCTTTTGCAGTTTATCCTTAGATAAGTATGATCTGTGCTGGGTTTTAAATTAAATTAAATTATGTCTTACAATAATTAAACATACATGTATATTCTCTAGGCCTTCTTCCCAACCCTCAGAATCTATCTCTAACCCTGAAGCTTACTTCATTTTGACATCTACAACTTCCTGTCTTAACAAAGTGCTAAAACAATCCAAAAATATTGTCTTTTTTTCAGAAATATTGTTAAATTTAAGTGAGTTCTTCTTTAAAACAAACTAAATAATCTGCCAATGGGGTAAGTGAAATAATCTTGATTTTGCTTTGAAATAAGATTGTTTTGCTTTACCCCATTGTAAGATTATTTTGCTTGTTTTAAGGAAAAACTCACTTAATTTTGGCTTATTATTTCAACAAGAAAATATTTATACTTGCCTAAAATGCTTTGTGTTTTAAACATTTAAACTAGAAAAAGAAAAGTTTTTTTTTTTTTTTTTTTTTTTTTTTTTGCAGTGTGTGGCTGAAAATCTTTTTCACTCTTTGGGAGACCACTCATTGCTAGACCTATAAAAAGCTTTCCAGCCTAAATTTATCCTGGAAAAAGCTATAAAATGCTATCTAGGACTGTATATTTCTCTATAAAAACCTGTCAAAAAATGTGGTTGGTGGCCAGGACATTGCTAAGGTGGCTGATTCCTGTGACATTGCTAAACTGTGACTTCAGTTCAGTTTCACATCAATATTTAATCTGCATCCCAAATCCCAATGTTTTTAATATTAGTAGTCCATACGAACCCTTCTTTACTGTTCAAATTGACTACCCTTTTGTTATGTTGGTGGCAGTTTTTACCCCATTTAATTCCATTATAATGACATGTTTTGATTGCAAAGCCATGACAGCATATAGTTATGCATTCTTGATTGTTGGTGGTTTTTCCTCCTGGTAAGAGGTACAATTAGAAATTTTTACTTTTGATTATCAGTTTTAGTGCATTTGGAGTATAGTGTGTATGTATGAAGCTAGTTTCGGGCTTTTATTTGGAGTATCATATAAATATTTATATATTTATTAATTTATAATATAAATATATTTTTGCACAGGCCTAAAGGGTTAATGCTGCCATCTGATGATTAACAGTAAAAATGACAAATGTTACCTCTTCCCAACAGGGAAAAACACCAACAGTCAAGAATGCAGGAGTATATGCTTTCATGGTTTTGCAATCAAAAAATGTGATTATAATGGAAGTCAATGAAGTAAAAACAAACGAACACAACGAGAGAGGAGTCAATTTGCATCCCAAATCAAAATGTTTTTAACATTAGTAAGGTATATTAAAGGGTTTGTTCTCCCCCAAAAAATGTACTTTTCCTGTTAGTTTCCTTGCCTTTAGCCTATCCAAGATGTAAGTGACTTTTCTACTTCCCCAGTAAACGTTAATGAAGATTTTAGTGAAAACTGTGGCGAATCAGTCAATTCTTTTAAAAAATTTGAAAGTCAATGAAAAACTTATAGAGGCAAAACTAAATTAATATCAGAGATTTTTTTATTTTTTGGATATGCCATCCTTTTAACCGTGAACATGTGCAATGATAACACTGATGGTCGCCTTAGCAAACACACCCAATTAAAGCAAAGAGAGGGAAAAATGCCATGAAGTGATGCCATGTTTTGTGAAAAGTTACTCTGCTGTTTTTATACTCGGGCATGACAGATTTTCCTTAAGCCGCCCATACCTCTGCCAAGGAAATAAACACATCCGTAGATGTTTACCTCCAAAGTCTCAGAACTACGGTGGAGTACCTAGAAGTGAATTAATCTGGCTGCACTGATGATAATAGAAATGTAATCGGGTCTTACATTCATTCTCTCTGGGCGTGTGTGTGTGTGTGTGTGTGTGTGTGTGTGTGTGTGTGTGTGTTTGTGTGTGTGTGTGTGTGTGTTTGTGTGTGTGTGTGTGTGCGTGTGCGTGTGTGTGTGTGTGTGTGTGCTCAGCTGTAGGGATTTCTAATCGAGCCGTACTGGCAATGCAGAATTTGCTGGAGATTGTAGCTCCTATGCGCTCATGTTACACAGAGCTGCACATTTTCAATCTGATAATCCTCCACACACAATTTTTCTCAGAAAACATATTTCTAAAAGTGCCATTGACTTGAATATTTCACCTGATGTTGGCAACAACCAAATAAATCCATATATGCAAAGCAAACAAAAGTTATTAGTTTACAAATGAAGTTCTAGGTAATAAAATGAAATGACACAAGGAAAAAGGAATTGAACTAATGAAAGGAGCTGTGGAAATGCATGGAAAGCCCAGACAGCAGCTGAAATCTCTCAATAGTTCTTCAGTAACTTTCTGCTGTTCCTCATTGTAAATGAATATCAGCTGCTTCAGTCCAACATCTACATTAGCAGGAGGATAAAACCAGGGTGAACATTACAGCAAGACAATGATCCAAAACACAGCCGAGGAAACTCTCAAATGCTTTCAGAGAAAGAAAATCAAGCCGTAGAATGGGCCAGCTAATCACCTGACTCCAATCCAATAGAAAATACAAAATAAAGCTCAGATTTAATAGATGAGACCCACAGAACCAACAAGATTTTCACAGAAGACTTTATTCTCCATATGAGAGACATCTTTAAGCTGCCATAACCAAAAAAGCCTTTTATATAAAGTGTTAAACATGTTTCAGTAGTTCAGCACTTTCTCCTTGTGTCGTTTCATTGTTGTTTTTGTTTTGTTTTATTTTTATGTTTGTATTGTTTGGGTTTTTACCTAAATTTGGTTCTATCTCATGTCAACAGCTCCTTCAGAAATATTATTCTCAGGAAAAAACATGACATGTTCAATACTATTTCCCCCACTGTATAATCAGTAACACGGCTTGTTGATTTTGTTCAGGGTATGGACAGACGGGGCCCGAGTCACACAAGCCTGGATATGACTCTATTGCATGTGCGGTTTCTGGTATGATGCACATCACTGGTCCTGAGGTAAGAGCAATGCTTGTTTGTTTTAATTTATTGTCCACCTGAGTGAAAAAAATTGGCTTAGGCTCAAAAAACACAACAAATTATTACTGATATATGACAGGATAAAATCAGAGTCATCGCTATTACATAATCATAAAATTGGAAAAATGTGCTGATGTGTTTCAGTATAAAGCGTGTCATTTCTAATGGCTAACACTATTTACTTTAAATTTACTTTAAAGGGATATTAGTTTTCAACATTCTTCGAAATATCTTCTGAGTTCAACAAAAAATAGTAAACTTAAAGGGCTAGTAGACCCAAAAATAAAACAAATACTATGAATGTTAATGGTTACAGGTTTCCAACATTTTTCAAAACATATTATTTTGTGTTCACTCAAAGTTTGAAACTCATGTAAATGACGACATAGTTTTCATTTTCTCACAATTACATAATAATAAAATAATATATAAATGTTTCAATACAGAGTGTGTCATTTCAAATGCTTAAATTGACTTTGAAAAGACAATTTACTCAAAAGTGAAAAATCTGTCATCATTTACTCAGCGTTCAGTCTTTTTAAATGCAGTTCACCCAAAATGAAACGTTTATTTACTCACAAAGTGGTTTCAAACCTATATTAGGTTTTTATTTATTTTTTTTTTTGAACACAAAAGAAGTTATTTTGAAGAAAGCTGACTACATATAACCATTGACTTGCATAGTAGGAAAAACAAATACTTTATCAGTTAATGGTTACAGGTTTAAAACATTTTAAAGAACGAACATTTAAAGAGAAAACACAACAAGTTTTGAAGCCACTTGAGGGTGAGGAAATTGTTAGTACATTTTCAGTTTTTGGGTAAACTATTGCTTTAACATCACCATAAATGCACCAATCCACTTACATAATGTTTTTACATAATTTTGAATGGCCTCAGTCACTAATATTGCGCATTATACAGTGCATCACTTTAAATAATTTACAGTATTAAGCATAAAAAGAAAAAAGTCTTTAAAACTGCTTTAGTTTAATAATATACCTCTGGTTCAACTACAAATCAGCTCTCTAAAATGTTTTATTTTTTCAGATATCATTCCTTCATTAACTAAACAAAAAAAAAAAAAAAAATGTGCTGAAGTGTGCTTATTTAATAACGACACACCTAACTATTGCACCATCACCACTGACCAATGGTAGTTAAAACAAGTTTACCAGCCTGAGTGAAGTTTTCCAATCATACCAGTTTGTTCTTCAGTTTCCATTAAAGGTTTTTGATTTTGAGTGCCGTTAGCAGTTTTAGGCCCTTTATGTCCTGTTGATTTATTTGTTCTGTTTTAAGGACGGGGATCCAGTCAGACCAGGTGTCGCTATGACAGATCTGGCCACTGGTTTATACACTCACGGAGCCATAATGGCCGCTTTGCTTCAGAGGCAGAAAACCGGACGAGGCCTTCATATAGACTGCAATCTTCTGTCTTCACAGGTAATACTACTGTGACTTTATGACTACACTTTATTATTAAACACAACTTTATGTAAAAAAAGCATCTGATCAAAGTGACATGAATAGCTTTACATAATCTGCAATTAACATGTCGACAGGTCATAACATTATACATATTAATTTGGGACTTTAGACAATATCGGGCTGCTAGTTTATAGATCGATCTTTTCTTCGCATGAAACATTGACATTACAAACTAGATTTTTAAAAACATTTTATAGACATTTGATTCAAAAACAAAGTCTTTCACTTAAATCAGGGCTTTCAAACTCCTGTGAGTGTTCCTGGAGGGCCGACGCCCTGCACAGTTTAGTTCTAACCCTGTTTCAACACACTTACCTGTAAGTTTCAAACAAGCCTGAAGGACTCTATTAGTGTAATTAGGTGTGTTTAATTAGGGTTGGAACTAAACTGTGCACAGCTGCGGCCCTCCAGGAACTGAGTTTAGACACCCCTGACTTAAATGTTTCAAAGGCAACCTTGGGAGTTTTCATTTTTAAGTTTTTCCACAAGTTCTTCACACATTTGCAGTAAAAAGTAATTAAATACATGATCATTTTGATATAAAGCTCCATTAATAATGCCAAAATTCATTATATTATTTTTATTTAAAAATGAAAGGTACTGTAGCTTGCATAAAATATATATTTCAATATATGAAATAATCCAGAAACTTTTTTTAATTGTTGTTGATATGATATTACTGTTGTTAATATTATTATATAGATTTTTTTGAATAGCTGTTTAATTTGTTATAGATTCAGGAAACTCATTTAAATTAAAGTGAATGAAATGAAAACTTTGAGCTAAAGTGTAATCAGTTCTATTAATATCTCCATTAATTCATTTCAACATCACTGATCAAAGTTTAGGGTTAGTGTGATTATTTTTTCTTTTCTTTTTAAATGGAATTTTATTTATTCAACAAGAATGCATCAAAACTGACAGTGCAGACATTTATTAATTTTGCATTTTGTATTGAATTTATTCATAAAGTGCTTTATAGCCGTTACATTAAATATATTTAAAATGTTTATAAAAAAAAAAAAACTTCATTTGTACTTTTAATTTGCCAAATAAATTGCTATTTCAAAGAATGATGTTATTTAAAAAATAAATAAATCCCTGGTGAGCATAAGAAAGAGTCCTTCACAAATATCTCAAAGTTTTCAATGTTATTGTGAGCAATTATGTTTTGTTAGTGATGATTGAATATTTCAGCATTGATTCATTCTAAGTTTCCATAAACTCTGTAAATTCTAAATCTTTACCAGGGTAAGATTGAAAAGTCAGACACTGAAAGCCACTTTGATTGTTATTTTTAATTTACCTGAAAGATTTACGTTTAATAACACTGACTGACATCACTTTTCATGTCTCGTTCAGCTCTTCAAATCATTCCTCATTCAGATTTGCTGTTATTGGTTCTTGCCCAGTACATCAAATGAACTTTTTAAATCAAACCAGACCACAGTTTGTGTGTGTCTATGTGTGTGTGTGTGTGTGTGTGTGTGTCTATGTGTGTGTGTTTGGCTAGAAAGCATGCAGTTCCCTGGAAGTGAGTTTAATCTGACCCATTCCCTACTCTAGAGAAAACATGAATGTTTTGCTTTACAGTATAAATAAATCAGCTCTCCATTATCGTATAACCGTATAAACCAATCGATGTCCCCAGCTACCAGACTTCAGCATGCGCTCTTTAATTTGACCCGATGGCTTCATACAATATATTTTCTACATTTTTCACCGTGAACATTGTATACAACCAATACAAGTGTCAAACTGAATGGCTTTTAGGCAAAGTTTCTAAATCATGCGGCCACTTTAAACTTGGTCTTTTTGGATAACTTTTCTTCCTTATGTAAGCAGTGACTCAGCTCAATTTGTGCCTGTCGTAAGTAAACGTGGGTGTGGACGCTATAGGGTAATGGCTAATTCATAAGCATTATATGCATTGTAAGGATCAGTAGGCTTTCCTACCATGTCAACGTGTACTTCATGAGGTAATTGGGTTTTGAGACAGGCTAATACCTGTGCTTATGAGAGCAAATGGTAGACCATTTACAAATGTGATTGTGAATAATTTCTGCTTGCTGCTCTTTTGACTGAGCGACCTCAAAAAGCTCGCCAGCCAACCACCGGTTCTGCCCGGAAATGCAAGATTACAAGGCTCTTAAATAGCAGCGCTCAAACTGAAGACGTCAACACCGTTTGAGAAGCCAGGAGCGTGTGGCATCATGGGAATTAGCAGAGTGTGTGGCTGTCTATCGCCGGTGATGTTTTGCAGACTTCACCGCTTGCCAGGATAAATCTGAGGGAATACTTTGTTTCACGTTGAGTGTTTTTTATATTCCCTTCTTGTTTCTTAATTACCTGGCGGTACGTGTTTACTGAAAACCTAAAGACAGACGTGCGGTTTAACTTTTGCATCTGCAGTTTCACTTAACAGGAGCGTTCTGTTGACTTTTCTCACCATGGTAACTACCTGAAACCTCAAATACCCTCTTCGGCTGGTTTTCGGAGCAGAAATGCAAGATTGACTGAAGCCTTCATAGATAAATATTTGCACGCAACAAACGTGTTTTTCATTTTGTGCAGAATGACAAAAGTGTTTCCTCTACGCAGCTTGTTATTGTGTTTTGACACAGAATAAGGGAGGAAAACTCATAAACTCTAAGAGGTCGAAATGCAGAGTCTGGGGTTTTTGGGGTTTTGTCATGAAACATAGTTCGATATCTGAAACTATGTTGAAGCACTGGACTCACAGTTAAGAGTTTTAGGACGTTTACACCCTAGTGTTGTCAAAAATATTGATTAATATCTATATTGAAATATTTAAAATGATACAGTCTTGCTCTTGATTAGTAGACTCAAAGAATTATTTGTTGCTGCTTGCTCAAACTACTTATTTAAAATAAGTTGAAACAACACAAACCTTGAAGTTTTTTGGGAGCTACTTTATTGATTTATGTTCAGTCCACTTAAATTTGTAAAAACTATTGATAACTTAATGGTGCAGTATGTAAGTTTGACACTCAGTGGTTGAACAAGGTATTGCATTCTTGGTTCAAAACACATGCAAGCATAGGTTGTCAGATTGACGACACCAACAGGAGTGTTCCTGACTAAAGGCTGATTTAAACCATGTTCTAAATAAACTTATAAACTTACCATATTGTTGGAGGGCAGTAGGTGCACTATTCTGTGCTTCTGATTGGCTGTATTTAAATTTCTGTCGTGCTTCGTTTGGTCCAAACAGACAAATTTCTTATCACTGCAAAGCTTGTCAAGTAGTGTGTTGTTGGGTTACAATGTAACCTGCTCACCTAGTGCTTTCGCTCAGAATATTTATATGTTTGCTAATTAATAACAACCATGTGGTTGTTATTCAATCAAGTGGAACTCTGTCTCATTTAGGAGTTTACTACTGTCTACTGGAGGTCGCATTTTGATCATGGGTGCATGCTTTGAGAAACCCGTGGTGCTAAAATATAATTGGCTAAAGTGGCAGTGGGTGGGTTTAAAGCCGTTTTGGCACGCAACGCACATTTTCAATCTGACCCTAGTACTGTTTTTCAGATAAACAAGAATGTTCACTTAGCATGTTTCTTATATCTGCAAACATCTTATAGTATTTTATGCTTTAGAAGAGTCCAAAACCTACATACAGCACCTTTAGGTAAGTTTTAGGGTGTTTACACTTGTGTTGTCAAATATGTCGATATAATATAGATACAAATATTTAGAATGATACAATTTTGCTTTTGATTAGTATCGATTCTGGCTTTACCCTCTCTTCTCACCAGCAGGGAGTTCAATAAGCTTCAGGATGTTTTCTTATTTGATCATTTAGAGAGATTCATTACAATATAGCTGTTTAGCAAATACAACAGAACAAAATCAGCTTGTTAAAAATCTGTTCATGTTAATAGAGTTTTTATTTGAACCATCGACGGCAACACACAAACTTTTTATTTTATAAATGGTATTTCGGCAACATCATGGCTGGTAGAGCCCTGCATTTGAGCTCGATCCAAATTTCACATCATAGCTAGCACGCATATCGGGCTTCGGGCCTGCCTCATAAAAAATGTTTAATGAGATCTAAAGCATGCGGTCCGGAAGCGCCAGTGATCCCTTGCACATAGAGATTTCCAGCCATGTACAATGGAAAACGTAAAGAGAATAATTGCCCGTGGCTAACTTAAAACTGTGAAAAACGCTTGAGGAAAGGCAAACTCCTGGTCAAAATAGTGACAACTAGGCTGCATTTACACGGCAGATCTTGATGGTCAATTCTCATTTTGTGACTTTATCCGATTTTTTTAAAGACCTGCTTACATCATCTTTTAATCTGTGCCATTGTTTTTAAAGAAAAGTCCCACATACTTATTAAGTTAAATATAAGCTTTAAAATAACTAAAGGAAGGAAACTATCATTGTTTTGTCAATAGAAAATATTGTTGCTTATCAAACACATCGTGCATAATAATGATCTCAGAGCTGCATTTGAGTCTGTGTTCCCCCAAACACAATCTCATGGCAATTTGTAACTCTTTGATTTAGTGGCTAATTCGTATGAATTCGTACAATCCTATTCGGACAATTTAACACGATTTGCTCATCCCTCGATGGTTGGGTTTAGGGGCAGGGTTACGCCTCCTTTTAAAATCATACATCTTTGTATGATTGAACTCAAACAAATTGGTACAAATTAGCTACTAAACTGACAATAGGTAAAATAGTTACCTTTCCTCATGAGATCAGGCTGGTTCTTCTGATGACATCAGCTGCTCGTCAGGTCCGGATGAACAACCTAAAGTAGATGTAGATGCAAATGATGAGGGCGTGGCCAGTGAGTCTATCACTGTTTTGTCTTTTAATTGGCCAAAATGGAAATTCCAAATGTTACCTCTACCCAACAGGGACAACCAGCAAAAATCAAGAATGCATGATTATATCCTGTCATGGCTTCACAA